TGGCCTTGAGACATCCTTATTACTCAATTATCTTTTTCTTTTCCTCTGAGTACCTGAAGATCCACAGGCAGCCCTGGTCTTACCTATATTTCATTTACAGACAACTTGTACTTTCTCTTTAATGTTACATAAATCTGGCATCAATTTAAGATGACCGAACCAACCCCTTAACCACAGCAGCAGGCCATCAAGTTTCTAAAGCTGTAAGTCTCAATGTGAGGAGACTGTCCACCATTCTCCACGGCATCGCTGGTGGGCTCAAACTGCCAACCTTTTGGCTAACATACAATATTTAATCTAATGGATTAGAATCACTAAGCACCTAACATAAAATGCCCAAAACATCATTCACTCCATCACCAGGGATCCTTGGTAGAGGTTCAGTACTCAATAGATTACTGCTATCAAAACAACTATGAGATATCATCTCACCCCAGTAAGAATAGCAAAATTCTCTAGAACAGCACATAATAAATGCTGGTGAGGTTGTGGAGAAACTTATTCACTTAAGTTATTCACTCAGTGAATAAGAACCCTTATTCACTGTTAGTGGGAATGTAAAATGGTGCAACCACTATGGAAGGCAGTATGGTGCTTTCTCAAAATGCTGAAAACAGAAATACCATTTGATTCAGCAATTCCACTACTGGGAATATACCCTAGAGAAACTAGAACTGCCACCAGAGCAGAAATATACATATCCATGTTTGTTGCTGCTTTGTTTACAATAGCAAAGAGTTGGAAACAACCCAAGTGCCCATCAACAAATGAATGGATAGAGAGGCTGTGGTATATTCACACAATGGAATATTATGCAGCACTGAAAAACAAAGAACTCATGAAATATTATACAAAATAATGACCATGGAGGACATTATGCTGAGTGAAATATCTCAATATAAAAAAAGACAAATACTGCATAATGTCACTGTTATAAAACAAGACTGACATGGGGGCTGGAGGAAAACTAAGAAAAGAGAGGATAAGTAACTAATGCACAAGGCATTGAAACAGATGAGGGAGAGAACTGTATAAAAGGAATATATGATTAGGTATTATTGTCATGAAAAGAGTCCAGAATAAGAGTTGCATAGTAAAGTGGACTGGGGGAGGGGCCTGTATAACAATGAAAGAATTTTTTTTCCAAAATAAAAAGCAAATGGGGGAGGGGGATGAGGGGGCAGGGAGGAAAAATGTATGACATTGAATGAATGGAAATCCAAATTCTCTATAAACTTTCATTAAAATCTCAATAAAAAAATAGATTACTGCTTAAGTGAGCCTGCTATTCTTGTTTCCTATAGGGACTTGAGTTTGGCTGATGTGCTGAGTTTCCTGCGTGGTAAATGTGTGCAGTTACCTCTACCTTGTTTCACACAGCAAAGGTAATGATCACTACCTGCCCACAACACTGGCCCAGCAGCACAGTGGCTGGTGAAAAACAAGTGATATCAGAGAGGCAACATCCCACACAGTGAATGGCTCTGGCAAGCTTTGGTGCCTTAATTACCTGACTCATGAGGAGATGGCTGATAACCGATTTCAGCAATGCCTCTGCCACTCAGAAGACAATGGTTTTGATGAGGAAGGAGGTGGTAGGGGGTGGAACCTGCACAGAAGGCAATGACAGACTTGCCCAAAATCTGCCAGGGAGGGGAAAGAATGGGAACAGTGCTGTGCTTCTAAGCTCCACAGCTGGCTCCTTCCAAGATTACTGCCTCACAGGTTTCCACTGAGTTTTCATCTCGCGGAGTTTGGGGGATGACTTCACTGAGTCCCATTCATCTTTGCATTTCAACGTCTCCTTGCAACGTCCCCATTATCTTTTCTCATAACTTTGACGAGTTCTTAAGTCTGCAGTCAACAACCCAGCACTTAATTATCATCTGCTCCCTAGCTGCTTCCTGTGTCTTCTTTCTCCAATTAGATCATAAATTCCATGAAGGCAAAAAGCGCTATTTTGTCTTTACTTCCTATAGTACCTTGGAAAAGGACTGGTCCATACGAGACCCTTAAACATGATGTGTTGATTCATGCAATCTATGTGTTCTGTCCTTGCCATGGACATCTGTCTGTCTCAGCCCCTGAGCAGGTCCCCTGCCAAGTCCACCTCCATCTGTCAATCCTTCTGCCTCTGGGTTAGGTCCTGGCAGAGGAGAGGAAGACACTTTACCAGGATTCCCCTGCGACCTACAGAATAAATGCTGCTTCTTAACTTTTTTCCCAATATTTCCCACTAATAATAATTTTTATTTATTTTCCTCATTCTTATCACACAGCAAAAAGTAACAAGAACTAGTTTTTTAAAAATTATTAAACATCAACAAAAAATTGAGAAAATATCTATTTCTTGACCTTTTTTCCTCCCCTCTAAAAACTGAGGAAAGGAAGGACTTTGTTATTTCATGATGGTAGAAAGCACTGTGGAGCTCTGGTGGCCTAGTGGCAAGAAGCTGTGCTGCAATCCGAAGGCACTCAGTTCAAGGCCACCAGCTGCTCTGCAGGAGGAATGGCAATCTCCTCTCGTGCAATTAACTACCTATGAAAAACCACAGGAAGGTCATCTACGGGTCAGTTCTGACTTGATGGTACACAACAACAACAAAAGAAAGCACCATACTTCAACCCTTAAAATATCAGGCATCACAGCTCATGGCAAACAGTTTAGCAAAGCAGAATATCACCCAGGAAGGCCTGGAGAGCTCAGCTGTTGTAAGGAGAAGGAGTAGGGACTCAGGGAGGCCTTAAGAACGGCTCTGTCTGAACACCTGCACCCTTAAAGCAGCCAGTTTCTTGCCTCTCATAACCACCCTTGTCCACCCTGGGTTATGGTCCAGTTCTTTGAGGTTTATAATAATAAAAAAATAACCACTTTAGAAAAAAATATGAAAAGATAAGCTTTTGAACTTGAGTTTTAAGTCCCTAAAATGTAGAGATAGTTATTCCAACAAGTAGATGTTGTTGTTGTTGTTATGTGCCGTCGAGTCGCTTGCGACTCATAGCGACCCTATGTACAACAGCCCTAAACTCTGCTCTGTCCTGTGCCAATCGCACTGTCTCTGACACTCCCATCCCAATTATCCCAGTCACTGAATCAATCCACCTCATAGAGGGCCGTCCTCTCCTGCGCTGTCCCTCCACCCTCCCAAGCATGATATCCCTCTCCAGGGACCGGTCTCTCCTCACAACATGTCCAAAGTATGTTAGACGGAGCCTCAGAATACTTGCCTCCAAGGAGCCACTCGGTTTAACCCTTTCCAGGACAAATCTGTTTGTTTTCCTAGCAGTCCATGGTATTCTCAATACTCTTCTCCAGCACCACAGCTCAAAGGCATCAATTCTCCTTCTATCCTCCCTGGTCACTGTCCAACACTCTGATGCATAACAAGTGATTGCGAAGACCATAGCCTGTATCAGACGCACCTTAGTCTCCAGAGAGACACCATTGCTCTTCAGTACTTTGGAGAGGTCCCTAACAGCAGACTTTCCCATGGCAATGCGCATTTTAATTTCCTGGCTGCTGGTGCCAAGACTGTTGACTATGGAGCCAAGCAAACTAAAGCTGTGTACAATCTCAATCTCTTCACCATCAATCCTGATGCTGCCAATTGGTCCAGTGGTGAGAATCTTTGTCTTCTTGACATTGAGCCTCAATCCATATTGTAGGCTGCAGTCCTTGACACTCTGAAGCAGGCGCTTCAAGCAGATAGAAAAATAAAAACCAGAACTCTTCATCAGCCAGGTACTAGGACAGCTTCACTGGGACTGGACTCATTATACTGTTGACATCAGAATGACTTGAGTGCTTGTTAGCAGGCCTGACAGTCCTCTGGAGTCAGAATACTGCAATGGGACCTACAGCTTTTCATTTCTGGTCACTATTCTGATGACTACTAAAATTAGGAAATCCTTGTATCAAAGGATACAAAGCTAAAAGCACAGATATGCTGCCTATGGTATTCTACTGATCTTTCTTATTGCTGTCCAGGCATAGCTGATTCATTGCTGACCTTCCCCTGAATTTCTGAGGCTGTAAATCATACAGGAGGAGGCTGTCAATATTTTTTCCAAGCAGCCACTGATGGATGTAAACCACCAGCAAAGTGCTGATTTTGGGTGAGCTGCTCAGTTTCCTACATACTATACCCCCGGAGCTCCCCCTATGTCAAGTCACTGCCCTGGAGGTGGAACTGTCTCATGGCTGACCCTCTAGTGAGGTTTTAGAGACTGTAAACCACACAAGAGGAAACTGCTCATTTTTCTCCCTAGGTGGAGGTGATGGGAACGAACAGCCAGCAAGGCATCAGCTTTAGATTAGCAGCACAAATCCCTAGGGCCAAAGGACTCCCATCCCTGCCCCACCAAACACACTCAAAATCACTGCCGTCAAGTTGAAACTGTTTTACAAGGCTGTAAATAGCATAAGAGGAGACTGCCTCTCTTTCTTGCATGGAGCCGTTGGTGGATTCAAACGATCCACCTTTGTCTTGGCAGCACAACTTCCTACCAACTCTGCCACTGTTGTTGTTTCATACTGTCAAGTCAGAACCAACCCATAGTTGGCCCTTTGGGTTTTCAGGGGCGGGTAACCACATGGGAGATTGCCCATCCTTGTCATGCCAGTATTCATTTTATTCGTAACTCCTGGTGGAAGGAGGAGGAAGTTCTTTGAAAATAATTTAAAGACGGGGTTAAAACTAGCAACTGAGAAGCTTAGAAACTTTCTTTTTCATTTTATTTTAAGGAAACTGTGAAAAAAGGGTATCAATTCATTTATTTTAAGGAAACTGTGAAAAAAGGGTATCAATTCATTTAGGAACTCCAGGTTATGAGAAACAGCTTGTCTCAGAGTTTTAAGTTTTTAAGGCAGCTTCTTAAAAGACTTCCAATCTCAGGGACTCAAACCACCAGCTGGTCTTTCCTATCTTCTGAGCAGACCCTGGAAGAAGAATTTTCCTATCATGCTGGGCAGGGCTTAGACCAAGTGCCTTCATTCTTACCATTTTCTTCCATTTCATCCTACGATTCTGATACCACGTCTTCACCTGCAGTTGTGTGAGTCCGAGAGACTGGGCCAAGTCCAACCTGGAAGATGAGAGACACAAAGCAAGGATGAGAAAGAAAGAAAAAGAGCAGTTAGGGTGGAACCTAATAGCTAGCTTGAGGTACCTGCTACCAGATTGTAGCCCTTCTCCATGAAACCAACTCTTCCCCAAAGGACCTCTGAGCAATTCTCACCCTGGAAACATCATTAACTATCCAAGTTGGCCTACAAAGAACTTCTGAACTTTCTGTGTGACATGCTATTGAGCCACAGCCTCCATCCTGGTCCAGTGCAAAATGAGGGTTCTTTTTTTAAATTAAATTTTATTAGTTTTAATGAACATTTACAGAGATTTTGGGTTTTCATTCATTCATTGTTGCACTGTTTTCTCTGCCCTCATCCCCAGTTCGTTCTTCTTCCCCCCCACCAATGTCTGTTTTAATTGTCCAATTGCCACAGTGCTTATCAAAGCCAGTTCTGATTAATCTCCTTTGTCAGTGTGTCCCTTGCCATTCCCTATCACTCCTCCCTGAGAGAGACTTCACTCTGATTCATAAGGAA